AAAAAAAACTTTCATTAGCAGTTGAAAATGAAAGTAGAGAGTGGGAGGGGTCATCAATGATGAGCTGAGCTATCGTTTAAACTTCAACAAAGTACAGTTCTTTAAGGTGTTTCTTTGGTCCCCTTAATGCTTGGGCTACCACACAAACAGTATGATTCCAAAAGTAAGGATGCTTCCTACTAACATCCTACAAACCCTCATTAAAATATTGACTTACTCTAAACCGTTTCAACTTCCTGATCAGATTAGCCTTCTGAGAACTGCAGTTGGTATTCTCTGCAAAGTTTAAATGTTCATCTGTTACTGTTTCTAGGTATTTAACTTGACTGACACCACCCTTCTAAAGCACTGCCCTGGGGATCACCAATATTTAAAGCAATTTAATTTTAAAATGTATTGTTCATAAGAACACGCTATAGGCGATCTGTTAGAAAATCTTTCATCCATTTTATAAGCCTCCAATTCATAGCCAGGCACAACAGCTGGTCCAACACTGTGGATCTGGATTGTGTTTAATGCTGAACTTTATTGTAAAGGTTTTCCAAGCCAGAGAAGGGTTTTGTCTTTTGCAGGTCCTATACAACCCCCCTCCACCCTGTACAAGTAAGGGCAATCCCTCCTGACGTCAAGATGCTGTTTGTTTCAAACTGACATTGTCGGAACCCCCCACCACACCAAACAAGAGAAAATTGAAAGACTTCTAGGAATTCAAATGTGGGGTTACCTTTTCTCTTTGCTTTATGTATTTACATTTATTTCAGCCTGCTTTGGTCTGCCTTGCTTAACGAAACCCAAGTTGTGTGCTGGTATAGATAAATATTTTCACTAAAATCTAGATTTATTTAGTGTGGCTTATGATAATCACAGGTAGAGGATTTCAAATTGTTGCACTTCACAGCAATAAAACGCTCTCGGACCCAGGGGGGCAATGAGTAGTTTTACACTGGGAGCCAGTGAAGACTCATTGACTGCTGATTACTGTCAAGTCAGACGGATAAGAGCTGAGCTGAAACAGGAACATGCAGACACTGAGGCTACCGGGATCAGGACTGGAATCTCCACATGGGTCCCACCGGTGTAAAGGAGTGGAGTACGGTTTTCCCACAGGGAAATCCAGCCCTTGTAACTCAAGCTGAGCAGGGCATCAAGGTTTCCAAAAGCAGGTCTTGCACAAGCAACATGTCTTACCAGGCAAGAAAAGCTGGCTTCTTAAGGAGTATCCCGCTGTATTTTAAACATTAATCTGTAGTTAAAATGTAACCCTCTGTAAAATGTCCCTGTTTTTGGATGGTCTTGGAAAAGCAGGAGTCCAGTGATTGCAGTTTCTTACTGTTATTCCTTCCAAAGGTCTTGTTTCTATTTTTTTTCTTTTGGCATGGTGCCGAGGATGAGCTCTCCTTTGAAAAGCCACTGACTAGGAGTGGCAGGTACACTCCTCTTGCACACATTGGAGGTTGGAACAAACAACAAGAAATAGATACTGTATATTGAATTTACACTGGACATTGAGTTACTTCAAAACATTGTGACATCAATTTTTTTACTCTTTTTTTAAGCACTTTTTAAGGGAGTTGTTTGGCAGTCTCACCGAAAGGAGCGCTAGATTATCTCGATAACAAATAATTCTGTGATGACTAAATGCTACAGTATCCATCCGT